GCGAGGGGCGCCGCGACGCTCTGACTGACTAATTGGATAGCTACAGAGGCTGGATAATAGATCAAATATGACGTTTGCCATGCCGACACTGCGCCGTTCACTGTCGCTCCAAGGCATCGTTCGGCCGATTAGAACGACGCGTCGCCCTTCGGCTATTTTCTGGGGGAAAAACGGAGGCAGCGCACGAAATAATCCGCCAGGACATGCGCGCGAGGGTGGCGTCGGTGGGAGCCTATCGACCCTTCCGGCTTTCTTTCGCTTCATCTCTCTTCGCCGTCTGTCGCGGGTTTATAGGCACCAATAGGTCCTCCGTTAGATACGAATCCGATTGATTACGGGAGCGAGAGGTAAGTTATACTAGTTTGGCAATTAGCATATTATACTTTATGAATTACGTATGCTTAGTCAGATGCAATTGTATATATCAGCCACAGGTGGTTATTGTTCTTGCTGGCACATTACGAGTCCACGTCCATGTGCTCGTGCGTAATTCTACACTCATTGCCCATTTGTCGAATTCGACGAAGTGTTTGCCTTTGCTCTCCCTTGCATGGTCATTGTTTCGCGCGAGCTCGTGTTTACGGCTTTGCCAAAGAAATTCCCTCTCCTGCCAGTAAAGTTTTATCGCGTCGATAAATTGCGCGAAGTCGTGCATGAAATTAATTGTCTCGGCCATCTACTCGACCAATTTTCTGTGCTTATTATCATAGGGCGTGTCATCGAAAAAACAAAAATACAAAAAAATAAAGAAAAAAAAAACAAAACATAATTTTTTTCTTCTTTAACTTCTGCAGTTGAGAGACTTTTGTTCCGTTTTGTTTTCTTCTTGTTCTTCTTTTTTTTTTTCTTTCTTTCTTTCTTTCTTTCTTTCTATTTTTCAACGCGTAAGGAGGCAAATTGGCACTCGGTATTACATAGCTATTTCCCTAATTGTGGAAAATTCGTTTGCTCCAATAGCTTGGTAATGAAAATCGTGAAGTAGGCTAAAGCATGCGCAAAGTGTCAAATGCACTGCATACGATTCCCTTCCCCCTTTTCCAGAGACTCGTGATACTCGCGATACCAACGGCAGTCTACTGTATCTAATATGCGCGACTCTTCTTAGAAATGTTTTTCTGCCTACGTTCAAGGGCAATTGAATATTTTTGCGACACAGTGCACGAAACACTGATATGCACGCGATACTCAACATCGAACCGAACCTTCAATTTCATTAAACAATACCTACAATTTCTAGTCGCGCAGCTGTGTAGCATTTATTTTTAATTCGAACGAGTACAATTATGATTGCAATTCATCTTCTGTCGTATCTTAATAAGCGTAATAAATAGCGGACTCGGCTTGACGATTTTACTATTCGTATGGAGATTAATTATTATTGTAAAAGGAAGAAGAAAAATTGTAGTCTGTTATCATTTAGCGATGATATATATATATATATATATATATATATATATATATATATATATATTCAAATATGGCTTATTGGGGCTTTAGAGTTGTGTCCTAAATGATACTAAAAAAAAAAAATGATATCTGCAGTTGTGTAATTATAGTGGCTACTTTTACATGCTTCACCCAGTTATAATTATATAGACGTACTACTACTATTCCTATAATAACTAAGTTAAAAATAAATATTAATAAATATTCTCAACGAGAGATGTCGAGATTTATATTTTCTCATTAAAAGTTATGTATTTGATAGATTTGTGTAAAAGAAGAAGAAGAAGAAGAAGAAGAAGAAGAAAAAATGCAATAAACTATAGCTACATTATCTATATGGGTATTATAAAATAACAAATAACTCATACGATTTTCCCCTTAAAGAAAATTTTATTCTAACTCATTGTCAATGAGCAAAGCCTCGTTTCCTTCCAATAACTTATATTTTATTAGCTACTTTCATATTATAAAGCTCGTAGAATTTTTAATTTTTATTAACACTTAAAATTCTAATTTATGATCAACTCTATTTATATTTCATTAGTATTGTTATGAAAATTAATCTAAATTGTCGTATGCATTGTATAATGTTTTTATGTTAAATATGAATATTTGTTTTCAAATAATTTCAATTGGAAACGATTATAAATATTTTATTTAAAGCTATATTTAATCTTATTTATGATATTAATTTTATTTTATCCGTATTTATTTTACTTTACGTAGTACTGTAAAATAAAATCAATACTTTTCTAACGCAATATTAGCTTTTTTTCTCTTATAATTCTTCTAACTCAATGCTATTTATAACGAATTTCATAACACTGTAAATAGAAGCTAAAAACTTTTTTAATGTATTAATAATAATAATATCCTTTCGCGGTATTATGATAGATTTAATAGCGATTGATGATCGGCAAATGATTTTTTTTTCTTCTACGCTGAAACATATAGTGTATTGAATAAACATGCGAAATATTTATATTTTATTAAGATTATTGTCTAAGTGCAATATGAGCAGAACTGAAAATTTACATATAACGAAGTCGATAAAGAACCTCGAGGACAGGATATTCTAATCTTGGTAGTAGTTAATAGTTATTAGTTTAACATAGCTTTGTTAAATAAAATTTATTATATATATATATATATATATATATATATATATTAATGTGAATTACTTCAAGGAGTTATCGATTATCAAAATAAATTCAATAGGTATATAAAGACATTATAATTGAATACGTTTTTATTTTCTTGTATTTTTTTTACTTTCATGTACTTTTTATAATTGGATCTTCTTGGATTAGAAAAAAAAACCAACAATAACAACGAGAACACCAACTTTCTTAATAAAAAGTTATTAAAATTTGAAGAATCATCATTGTTTCTAACTTCTGCAATTTCTCTTTTTATATTAGTCTTTATGTTGCCGTTATTCTTACAAATCTTTCAATTATTTAATCTTAATACTTTAATATTTTTAACGTATTTTACGTATTTTTATGTTATTCATTTGCTAAATAATCCACACGATTAACAAATTAATTTATGCCTTTTCTAACATAATACATTTTAAAATAGAATTCAATGGCATATTTGTATTTTCTATATCTTATTCATTGTTTATTCGCATTATATTTCAGGCAATGTTGAGTCAATTTAAGGCAGTGTAGATATTTATTTATTAAGTGACTATTCGCATTATCACGAATTTCACTCAAAATAATTCTCATATAAAAGAAAGTGTGATTGTATCATATTACTAATGGCAACTGTCCTCTTTGCTTTTTCCGTAATGATTTGTACGTACGTGACGGTAATAGTTTTATCATTTTCGGCTTAACGATACTCCTCTTACTAATGAGCTTACAATCATTCCTAAAGCATTTCGAATAATTTCAAGCAAATAGGTTTGTGTATAACTTGATAAAAGGTAAACAATATAAGCAATTATAAAGTATCGCTATTGTCATTAGCTTCCCATGATGTTTACTATGAAATTGAAATTTTGAAGCTAGTCAAGTCTGTTGACAGAACATTTGTTCATGACAAGTCAATTTATAGTTTATAAATTTCAGATTTACAATACAATGTTAAACTATTGTAAATAATTTATGTTAAAGCACTAATATACTTAAATGCTATAATCGCAGAATATCTCGAATAATTTTTCTCGTATCTTTTCGTTATCCAATTTTAATCCATTTGACTTTTAATCAATTTCTCCCAACTATAAAAGATCTTGTGCTTTTCGTTCTACATAATTTATCATTAGCATTATCGAAACGTAAGTAGCTAAGACTATTGAATCTCAATCATCGGCTTTATTATATAACAATTTAAATGTGACAAAAAGTTAGGCAAGAGAATACGCAAAAAAAACCGCCATGTGACAGAATAACAACAATATTATATTTTAATAGATGTCTCGTATCTTTTGGTGTCTGTTCGCCTAAACGATATTACAAAAATGTTTTATCGTGCTTGAAAATGGCAAATCATTTTATGCTTTGAAAAATACTCTGGTCGTTGATAAGCCATATATATGAAAATGGTAATTAAATGTAAATGTACTGTTGTCTGTCTGAGAATACAATTATAATGCATATAAATGTTGTTCTTCTAATACTTTTTGTATCTTGTGAAACGCGTATTAGAAAAGTTAAGCAATTGTTTGACCAATAGTTAGTTGTAGCAATAGTCAGAGTTTGCCGATGTACTAATATTTTATTATTTTTCTTGTATTTTGGAGATTTCATTGCGGAAAGGGGAACAGCTGCGAAATTTGTAATTTATTGGCCAATAATACCTCTTGACCACGTATTTATTCTCTCGTACAAATTGGTCGCGCGGCTACCAAAGTGTCATGTTTTATCTCTTAGTCGAGATTTTCTTTGAAAATAAATAAATATAAAAAAAAAAAAAAAAAACAACAACAACAAAAACAACGATCGTAAAAATCATCCTTCGAAGGTCATCGCGACGCCAAACTCGTGACATTATCGCGGGCGAAACGTTGATAAAATCGAACGACTGGCGTATATCATAGTCCTGACGATCGTGAATTCGATCTTAATGGCTCTCTTGGCTGACTCCAGATGTCGACTCGACCAAGTGAGGCGACCACCGCCTTCTCGTGCCAGTAGGAACTCTTGACGACGCTAGCCGGGCCACTTTCAATATCTTAGACCAGCGATATTTAAGTGTTGGCCAAAGCCGCAGATAGAGTGAGTGAGAGAGAGAGAGAGAGAGAGAGAGAGAGAGACCGAGATCGTTGAGTCCGTGCTCAGACAAGCACACGTGTTTGTTTTAGATACGCGGCCATTGACTTCCCGGCCAACAAGAGCGGGCTTTAGTATTTCGACGCTCCAATGTCAGGCAAATGTGTCACATTCGTACACGTACAGCGTCGGCTTACGTAACAGCGGCGCTAATTCACCTCGGGCGCGTCGGCCTCTGCCTGCCTCTTCTTTTTGCATCTTTTCATCGAAAACTCGCGCCGACACGCGCCGCGCGAGGATCGACGCTCTCCTCCCGCTGGGGCCGTCGACCCTCCGAGAGCTCTTGGGTTTCTTCGCGGCCGATTTCGCTTCGGCAATGCAGAATGGCTTTGACGGCCCGTGAAATGCTTGCGCCTGTGGATGGGGGCGCCCGTTCTTCCCGGCCCTTGCCCTTGCCCTTGTTCTTACCCTTGCCTTTTCCCTTGCCCTTTCCCTTGCCCTTATCCTTGCCCTTATCCTTACCCTTACCCTTACCCTTACCCTTACCCTTACCCTTACCCTTAACGTTAACCTTAACCTTAACCTTAACCTTACCCTTACCCTTACCCTTACCCATACCCATACCCATACCCTTACCCATACCCTTACCCATACCCTTACCCATACCCTTACCCATACCCTTACCCATACCCTTACCCATACCCTTACCCTTATCCTTATCCTTATCCTTATCCTTATCCTTACTCTTACCCTTATCCTTACCCTTACCCCACTACCCTTACCCTTCGAACGAACTCGCGGCTGCCGATCGAGATGTCGCGACTCACGGACAGGTGTCGATGATCTCGCGAGTACGAGCGCAGCATAATAATAATAATAATAAAACTCGACCGGGGAGCAGCTGCCCTCCCCACTCCCCCCTTACTCTTTCAGGTCTATTCTTTTTGATGTGCGGCCCGTCTCATTAAGATTCCGCGCGCCATATTCCGCGGTACCGTAAACTCCGATTAATTGGATGACGATTAATTTCAGCGCCGGGCAATGTTTTGTCGCGCTCATCCCGGCGCGATGAGGCGACCGATAGGAACGCAAGAGACGAGGACCTTTACAGGAGATCGACCCTCCTTTCTCGTATTATCGTTCGCTCTCCTTCCTCCGGGCGCTTTGTGCGCCAGTCTCTTTAAATAGGCCAGCAACGTAATCTTGCTTATTGGCCCGATCGGCTACCTGGCCAAACAATTTCTAAACGATGCCATCATTCGCCGATTATTCCTCATTAGCCAAGCGCAATACACGTGCATTCGCACGTTAGTTGGCAATTCCATTGCGGGTTGTCCGTTTCGTCGCGCGACAATGCTTTGCGCCGATAATACGCCGATAGTATCGATCGATCGATGTTCGGCACAATTTTTCACAAGAGAAGAGAGAAAAAAAAAATATGCTAAGCCCCTGATCCTGACGCGAGACATATATATATATATATATATATATATATGCGAGCATATACACACGGTTTCTCGAGCCGCGGTAATAATAAAATGCATCATCGTAAATTCGAGCGCGCCAATGGCACTTCATAACGACATACCGTACGCTGCAATAAGCACTGAAGAATTCATTGAATTTTTCTTCTCATTTCATAGTCGCGACTTGGAGACGAAATAATGACGGAGGCAGAAATGAAAGAAAGTTGAAAAAGTTCTGTAATAATGGAGTAACGGGTTTGTCGTCGGTCCTTAAATCGACGAAATTTGAAATACGTCGGAGCTATAAAAAGCGAATCCGCGCCTCGTTCCCCGATTTTCCTCATCTATTTTCCCCCCTTTCATCGTCGTTTGCGTCTCGAAGCGTCGCGACGCGCCAAGAAGTCGTAAACATTCCCAGCTGGAGAACCGTTAGCTCGATTAGATAGTCGGACGCATCTCTCTCTCTCTCTCTCTCTCTCTCTCTCTCTCTCTCACTCTCTCACTCACTCACTCACTCACTCACTCACTCACTCACTCACTCACTCTATGTCTACGGGTTATTGCTTTTATGCACGTCCGCATCTACACAAGGGACCAATCCGCTCTCTCTCTCTCTCTCTCGTACGTACGCACGCGCTTTATACATACGTTCGCTACGTCTGTACACGTGCGCGTTACATGGGAGCGAATGCGCAGGCGCGAGTGCGTAAGTTGATCGCGCGCAGAAATCACGAGGGAATTCACGCGTGTCTGCTGCTTTCGTACGTGAGACTCGTTTTTCGCGGGAGATTTTGCCAAGCGTACGATTTTGTTTGTAAAGCTGCTCGTAATTACCTGCCTCGATTAATTAGAAGGTTTTGTCTATTCCGTTTGCTCGCGATATATCGCTTACGAATATTTGTGAATGCAGCGGACGAACGCGCGGAAGCACTAACTAAAATTTGATAAAAATATTCATTTACATGTCAATGCAGCCCAAGGACCACATTTACATAGGCAATTGTACGAAGGGAATAGGCAGGCTTGGCAATTCGTCCTAAGATATTATTTCTTATATAGTTGCAGTGACTGTCATATTGCTTTTAATATGGCTCCGTATTTATTTCTTTGTATTAGGCAAACACGAGCGAACATTTATATAGATTGTGCCCACGTAATAACGATGCCACGTGTAAACTGTTATTATCGATGACTAACAATAATGTCCGAATTAGTCTTGACAACACTTGCTCTTCTGTGTACTTATCGCGCAACTTGGAGGAGCCGTGCGTAATACGATAGCATCGGTAATTCGCACTTGAGGGCAAACGCAGCTGGCGAAATTTACGCGAACGCCTTAATCTCACGATGTTGGCAGATAGTTTTCGTTGAATTTTATAGCTTTTTCGTAAAAAAAAAAAGCGAAGCGTCCAGTACGTAAACTCGCTTATCTCCGCATGCGAACGACGCGACAAAGCGCCTCATTGATCGAGCGCTCTTTTATCTATACGAATTTATTTTGGGTCCGTCCTTGAGAGTACGAGCTGCTACATTTATTTCAGTAGTGATAGAGACTCGTGGCTTTTCCACAAAGAAAAATTCGTAATGCCGCGCTGATGACAAATATGTCATACGGTCTCTTTGTTATCCCCTGATTTCTTATCATATGGCGATATCACGCACATATATATATATATATATATATATATATAAACATATGGTCGCATGTAGTATAGTTAAAAATATATTATCTGCACGGATCGAGCGATTGTTGCGGATACGTCATCAACACAATTTTCAATTTTTAAGTCAATTTACATTATTATTTTTTTACACTATGTTTGGTTACTGCAACAAAAAAAAAAAAAAAAAAAAAAAAAAAAAAAAAAAATTCGTTATCAATTTTTGTTGATAATTATGAAAAACAATGTAGGAATGATGACGATTACCATGCTCTTCTAATATCGTGCCTGAATTTTTTTGGAAAATAGTCTCGACAAAATTATGCTTATATATATATATATATATGAATGACCAAAGTTTATTTTAAAGATGAAGCCTGAATGCCTTTTCTATGCGAGTTGTTCGAAATGGCTAAACTGTTTTATTTGAAAAGGAAATAAAAACTACGTAATAGTTTCTTTATAAAAAGCTTGAGACGCCAAGTAAACAGTGAGCGACTGATCCATGTTAGGATCGTTGCAGCACCGATTATGCACAAATAATCCAACTGGAATAGTGCATTAGTTATTATTATCTTAGTAATCGTAGTAAAATTATACACGAACAGTGTAATAAAGTAATTACTTAATCTGCGCGTGTGATATAATTAATTCCATTATTGTCAATACATAGCTTTTTCGAAACATTTTCCTGATATCATTTTCTTTAAATTATATATAATAATACGTTGAGTCATCTATCGTTCGCTTCTTACCTTCTTATTTAATCAATTAAACAATGCATATATTTATTTATATATATATATATATATATATATATATATATATATATTGGGTCTACTAATTTATGTAATTCATGAAACAACTTTAAATATTTCAATCAGCTTTGACCGAATGACAGTCAAAGTTACAATTTTCCCGTAATTACAAATAACACATTAGCAAAGATTAATTTTGGGCCCGAGTTTGTTATTGCTGGGCATTGCTTGTAATCCTTGTATTATCGCTAAGCACGAAAGTACAAGAATCGTAGGGCACATTATTCCTCGTGCATTTCCTCCATGAAATTGCATGGTACTTAAATTGTGCCATTTTTATGGGGCAATTGTTCCTTTTACCACTGGTCGCGCCGTGATCTAACGAAAGCGCTTGGTCGTAGCAATTCCTCAAGAGGGTCGAATGGATTAATTTCTTAAATTTGAATTCTCATAAATGGACTTGGTCGTTAAATAAATTGTTATGATTTGTAGGTTGAAATGAAAAATGCAATTATTTAAATTGATATTGCAATTATTTATGATTTTTACACGATCGGATGAGGATGAGAAAGCAAAGCGAAACAACCACTGCTAGCTAATGCATGCAGTGATGGTACGCAAATCGTTGGTTGAGAACCTAAGGCTCGCGCGATTTTTGGATCGTTTGAGTCAGGACCTATCTTAACACCGTGCGTGGGTCCGTAGTTTATCAGGTATGTTATTTTTTTCTCGAGTCCTCGCCGATTGACCCATTGTACTTCTCGTGCTCTCGTGTCAGGGCGCTCTCACGCCGAGCGAGAAACGCTGCTAAAATTGCTGGACGAGCGTGCGAGAGAGCGCTACGAGGAGAAGAAGGCGAAGAATGAAGTACATTGAGGGAGAGGGCGAAGAGAAGCGGGAAGGTTGTAGAAGAGCGAACGAGAGGGAGAGAAGTATGCCCCAAGGCCAACTGTGGCAACGGCGATTCTTCCTCTCCGCTCACTTTCGCGTACATAACCAAAGTGCGGCTCACTCTTTCTCTTTCTCTCTCTCTCTCTCTCTCTCTCTCTCTCTTTTTCTCTCACTCTCTCTCTCGCTCTCTCACTCACTACGTACGTGCGTGCATGGGCGCGCGAGGCTGCACACGCGCGCCCCTATAACCAATATTCCAGTACTTCACCAATCCGAATTTATGAGGAAGACTCGTAAATTATTATTATGCTATTCTTTTATGGAAGGAACCACTTTTTTTTCCGAGACTGATTGGTTGATAATAAGGCCTTCTGTGTATTTTGTGTTCTTGTCTTTCACTTGAAATCGTTATAACTATCGATGAGATAGATTAATTGATTTATACCAGCCCTCGTTTGAAGAATATCGACTAGTGAAGAAATTTATAGGAGCATGAAATACTAAAGAAAGATAGAAGAATATCGAATACTAAAGAAACATGTAAGAATTTCAAAGACTAAGAAAAGACGTAAGAATATGAAATACTAAAGGAAGAAATACAAGAACATGAAATACAAATATATACAATGGCATATTAAATTACTAAAGTACATTTTTTACTTCACGTATCACGTAATTATCACAATGGATTTTGATCACTAAATTTTTATAGCTACTTGTTATAAAAAGGGTGGGCTCACACGAATGATAAATGTCGATGAAATGATAAGATATTTAAGCAATTAATTAAGAATAAAAAAGAAATCCAAGCAATTGCTCGAATGCAGATAAAATTAACTTGATTTAGTAGATTATCAATTATTAATTTATCATAGATAATTCCCTACAAGTATTAATAACACTTTGATCGATATTAAAGGCTTG